CCATCCATCCATCCATCCATCCATCCATCCATCCATCCATCCATCCATCCATCCATCCATCCATCCACCTGCCATCCATCCATCCACCCACCCATCCATCAACCTACCTTCTATCCATCCATCCATCCATCCATCCATCCATCTACCCATCCATTCATCTACTCATCCATCCATCCATCCATCCATCCACCCATCCATCCATTCTTCCATTCATTCATTTTTTTACCCATTTTTTCAGGGTGGTGATTTCATTTTCATGCTAAGTAGTAAAGCAGGAGGATGTGGGTTGAATCTGATTGGTGCTAACAGACTAGTAATGTTTGATCCTGACTGGAACCCAGCAAACGATGACCAGGCCATGGCTAGAGTATGGAGAGATGGGCAGAAGAAAAAGGTACATATCCCTAAAAAAATTATTAGATTATTATTAATTTTGATACACATGCAATAATACAAATTTGGCATTCATTTCAATATAAGTATTGTATTACAATTTTAATTTTCTTTAATAGTATGTTAAGTTAGAAAGTTGTTAAATATATTGTGCCATATTGCATAAATAAAATTGAAACTAACCACTGGGCTGGATAATTTCTTTTAGGTATTCATTTACAGGCTTCTATCAGTAAGTAAATTGAAATTTACTTTTCAACATAAAGTTGACTGTTTTCAGAATTTAAAATTCTTTTGCAAGGTATCATCTTCAGTCATCATCTTTTTCATCATCATAATTTTACCATAATTGTCATCATTTGCAGCAGCATCATAAATATTTATTTCATTTACCACCATCATCATCATCATCATCATCGGGCATAATCATCCATCACCAACAGCATCATCACTATATTCATCATCATTAATCATATATTACTTGTTCATTTCAATTTGCTTTCTATAAATAGACAGGAACCATAGAAGAAAAGATATTCCAACGCCAAGCCCACAAGAAGGCTCTTAGTAGCTGTGTAGTAGATGAAGAGGAAGATGTTGAGAAACACTTTTCACTTGAACAGCTGAGAGACTTATTTCGCTTGAATGAAGATACCCTGAGTGACACTCATGACAAGTAAGTATATTTGTCTAGTTAATACGTTATTAGATCAGGTTTCCAGAATTCAATTGAGTGGCCATAAAACAATGACTCCAAGTCGAGATCCAACCTTGACCATTGGCCTTCATGGTCACTCAAGGGAATTCAGCAAAGGCTGGGCCTATTGTCAAATGTCAATCACAAGGACTGGTGTGCATGATTCGTACATGTAACTTGCTTAATTTGATTGGGAACACTGGCTTTTGACCAAGTTATGTTAAGGTGCTGACACACAGTGCAACATTGCACGCAACAGGACTGTTGCAGCGTGTCTACCCCAAACTTGTTGCACGCAACGTTGCATGCAACAAAACTGAAGTTGAATCACGCTCTACTCTTGCAACAATGCGCGCAACAAATTTCATCATGTGAACATGGCTACGACATTACTGGCAACATTTTGAAATTTGCAGCCAATTAGCTTGCACCAAATTTATAGCTGCTGACCAAATATCTTAACATAGCAGGCTGACACAAGCGATGTTGGGTGATTTTGTTGCAACGTGTGTCACCCCTATTCAAATTTGTTGTTTGCAATGTTGTGTTCAATGTTGCACCATCTGTCAGCACCTTTATAGTGTGGGTTTAGCAAGAAGCCCTGTGGTTTTATTAACTTATGGGTGAGCTCTGTTTCCTTCAACTACCATTAATTTCCAGTGGCCTGAGTTAGTACTTTATAAATTCATTGATGGAAGCCACAAACCAGACATCTGGAAGTTGTGGAGTTGAAGCAAGAAAAGTGTTTAAAAACTACTGCTTCATACTTGTTTCGTTAAGGTTCAAGTGCCGTCGATGTGTGAACAACATTCAGGTGCAACCACCCCCTGAGGATACCAACTGCAGTGGGAGCCTAGCCCAATGGAACCATTCAGCAAGTAGTAAAGGTCTTGAAGATATTATATTAAAACAAGCTTGGAAGTGTGGAGTCAGTTTTGTATTCCATCAAAAATCTCATGAAAAACAGTTGGGAGTATCTTAGATACAAGCATTTCTTTTATTGCCATGTACCATCTAGTATTTTCTATTTGCAGCCAAAATGAGTAAGGTGAAATGTCTGATAAATGTTTTAAGATTTTTATATTATTTATCATCATAATAACATTAATTTATTACAATTTAGGTTCAATATCAGTGTGATAAAGCAGTGAATGAAAAACAGTATCAGTGAAGTGATACGATATCACTTCACAGTGAACTGGAAACTCATTTTATTGACCCTAAATGTGTAATGAACAAAATACAGTACAGGCCGAAAGTTTTTCAGGGTCAACTGCATGTATCACGCATGGACCCCGCGCACGGGATCTGCTCGTACGCGTGGGATCCTACCGTATGCATGCATCCCGTCCGTACAAGCGGGAAAAGTTAATGCGGTCCCACGCAGCATAAGAGGTTAACTTTAACTTGGCTCTCTGTATGTTAAAAACCTGATATCTAACATATGATATTCTCTATTTATTTTTGTTTATAAAAAATAATTTGATAATTTGATAAACTACAAAGATATTATTATTCAAGAAATATATTCAACTAAATTGAGAAAAATAATTACAAATAATGCAATGCGATAATGCAATATTTTTTATTAGCTTATATGAAATTTAAATTAAACAATAATTTTGAAATTCGAATTTGGTTGATAAAGTAGTTTCACACCAGTCGCACCTTCATGTCAATAGGATTGTGTATCGTAGTACCTTAGAACATTACTGTCACCTCATGGTTGACACCTCAGTATAACGTATAACCTTCATGTCA